AAAAAAAAGTGTGTAGCACATCACATAATCAATATACAAAAATGGAATCGAAGGATAAAAATGGAAAATAAACAAAAATTAAAGAAAAACATACAACAGGAGGGATTCGCTGGTGGTCACCCACCCAACTACTAACCTCCCGGCGTGTGGCTTAAGTACGGCTGAGCGGACGGGAAGCCCTGTTCTCCACACCCTATGGTCGTATGTGCTTGTTTTCTTCCCGAAAAAGCTTATATTGCCCGCTCATGCTATTTTCTTGCAGCACACACAAGATGAGAAGGGTAAAAGGGGGTGATAGACAATAACTAGAAATGATTACTTACTGAAATCCGGTCATTGCTTCTTTGAGATTCCATGCGTCTATGATTGCCTCCGGGACAACAGGCAGCGCAATGGCAGTACCCACAAGGAGCAGCTGCAGAGCGGTGTTGACCTTGGAGATCGTCGTGGGTTTGACCTCCGCGGAAGGGAGAGAGAAATCCCAATACCGTGCCATAGTTTTGGGCGGGGGAAGTGAAATCCAGCGATAGTAAATCGCGGATATAGCAAGGCCGACATCACGACCGAGAATGATTACGGCGAGCCACACTATTTGAGCAAGTTAACATCGCTGTACATGTCGGCATGTCCCCCACATAGTGGTTAGTAGATTGCTTACCCGGAATGGAGCCATTGACTGCTAAACAAGCGACCCCAATGGTCATCAGTAGCTTATCAGCCATGGGATCGATGATTGTCCCAACAACGGTTTGCAGGTTATATCGCCGCGCGATGTAGCCATCAACCAGGTCGGTAATTCCAGCATAAGCGAATAGGGCCAACGCAGCCTGGTGGTAATCATGGACAAGGAAATACCCTACCAAAGGGGCGGCAACCAAGCGAGTCATGGTGAGTATATTGGGAATCGTGTAGATGTTCTCGTGGCTGGTAGGTAGGGGAATGCGAGAAAGGATTGGTGACTTCTTTGAGCCAGTTTGAGATCTTATACGACTTAGTCCACATGAGGTCATGAATGTATTGCGCATAAAAACAAGACTTTGATGAAAATGCGGTGTAGACACAACACAGGATAGTCTAGAACACCTACTTTTGAGCGTCAGTCTGATCGGAGGGCTTATCGGTAGCATGCCATCTCTTTTGAGGACCGAGACTTTGGCGCCAATGAGACGTCAAGCGCAGAGTCGCGCAGCCGTTGTTGTTCAGGGATCTAGAAGCCTGTCAGACCAATCCCCCCTTCCAAGCACGATTAACATGAATAGAAAGCCCATACTTGCTTCGTAATGAGCTCGAGGGACTAGCTAATGTGAAGATTGAAGAGCCGCGAAACTCCATTCGAAGACCCGACCATCTTTCCCGTACGGCAGCACCGTTTCCGAGAGATGGAGCTGCAGTGCCATTGTACAAGCGAGGACACTGTCGAGACGCGCGAAGAGGCGCCAGCACAAAGGACCTTGCAGCCATAATGAAAGCTCAATATTCAAACAAAATGAGTAGATTCTAAGCCAATCAGGTCAATGGATAAACTGCAGTATGGCACTGAAGGAGACCTGTGCAGCTTCGAACTTCAAAGAGAAATGTTCACTTAAAAAATTGCTCCTTCCCAAGCATAACCGATAGTATACAGCTTCGATATGTTCCCAGAGGCCAAATCAGTCAATCCATGAACTGATATCGAAGGTCAGTACTCTGAAGGCTAAATTCATATAACAGGCAGAAAAAGAAAACGATAGTGTCAAGTCTAATCCAAAATTTTCTTCCGTATAAACTAATAAAGAAATAACGAAGGCGTCAAAGAAATAAAATGAAAGACGAAGTGGCGCGTGATAACCGACAACAGTTCAAGTTATCTGATGAGGTGATATAGAAATGGCAGCTCGATGACTGAGTTCCGCGACTCCAACCCGAGGGAAATCTCAAGGTTAGCAGGAGCGCAACTAACAAATAGTCCAGGCAATTGCCATTCAAAACAGACTTGAATGCAATTGGCTGGGGAGCTGCCACAGAAACTTGAAGATATATCGGGTTGAAAATTAAAAAGTACGATGGAAGCTATACAAATCGAGGCTCGTGATTTGAGGAAAACGTCCGCGGAACAACAGTTGATCCGGAAGGTGTCATGTGATAGGAACGGTCAGCAGTACGACTAAGTAGTTAGTAGTTGGTATGATGACAATGACCATGACAACGACGATGATCGAGTCGTAAAGCTATGGTGTAATGAGTAGTTGATCAAGCAACGTTTCAAGATCTCCAGCTGACTCATAACAGATGATAGAGTTCATCTGCTCTGATGCAGCAGATCGACCTCTTCTTGGCATGCTGCTATATAAATCGGCACGAGTCTCATCTGACTTGCTTGCTCCCATCAGTGCTTCTCACCTGATAGTAAGAAGAGCAGCTGTCCACATTGCTGTCGTCATACTAAATGACTCCCCAAAATGAGGCGACATGTATAGAATGCCTTTACCCCGGACTTTTAAGCCAGTCCGTGGGAGTACTACAACTGTTGTTCACTATAGAGTGTTACTCCATGGATAGTAATAGGGCTTCATGACTTCACCATGGGGATATGGGATGAAGATGAGGATCCGGAGCCGTTTCCGATGAGGAACCCGAACATGGCCATGGTCACTATAGACCGTCCTGCGGCTCCAGCACCACCAGGAACTCCATCGCCTCCAGCATTAAGGCGGCCAAGTGCACCCGGGCACCCATTAACGGAGCCCTCTACAGATCCAAATCTGGCCAACCCCCGTCTTATGGTCAACAGAGCATGTATCTACGAACGCCAATTACCAGGAGATGCCTACATTACGGCTCACGTGCAGCGTCTGCAACACGGGTTTTACTCGAGCCCAGCCGTTTCTGATCAAGACCTCGACCATGTTGACTTCCTGGGTATCAGTTTCGTTTTCCACTCCCCCAACACCCTTACGCATCGCTTCAAGGCAGCGACCATCCGAGCCTCGATCCACAGCATGCGAGAAAATCCCAACCCCTTCTCTGCGTCACAAAACCCTCATACCTACCGGTCCAGAAACCCACGGTTTCTCAAACACGCACCCCACCTCCTGTATGGGTCTGTCTCGCCCGAGACGCTTCAATGGAACTACAGTCTCTCTGGATCTCTCGGTGTAGCTGAGCTACCCCTCATGGCCAGCATCTCGCCGTCTGGCGGCATGAACGGACGGTACCGACGGTACGAGATGATGAGAATCCAGGGCTCAGTCCGGTCATTGAAGAGCCCACGCGGGCGAAAGTTTGACGTCGAGGCAGGGGAAATTGTTTGGTCACTGGAGGAAAACAATCTGCAACGCTCTGGCCTGCCACGAGAATTCACATTTGCCATGTTAATCCAGAAACCGCGCGCCGACAGCCGAATCCAACTCGTGCTGGATATCGAGCCAGTCCTCCAGTGCAGCTACTTCAACTACCCGACATGGTGGCTGGATCTCCCAGCGTACAAACCGGTGCCTCGACGGTCAGTAGACTTTCGAGTCGAAGTTGGGCAGCGCTTTGAGCCCCTCACGCCCAATAAAGGATTCAACTTTGCTACCCTGGAGAGCTCGTTTGATGATTATGTGCATATGCCAGGAAGGAAAGTTACCACTGGGGTGAGTCTACTCCGCCCTTGACTAGAAAAAGTCAATCGAGAGATATCCCTCAAAGTCCATGAAAGCTCACGTAAAATTGCAGATACCCCTGGAAGGCGGAATCGCTCAAGACGACAACGAAGTCCGGCGTGAAGTCACCCGAGATTTCTCCATGGTCGAACCCGTCCGGGGGATCCCCCGAGCGCCATACACAGGATCAACGCCCGCCGGGGCCGCAGGTAAAATGCACGGAAATCGGAATGGAGTCAGCAACATGCTACCTATCCTCGATCCAGGGTCTCTCTCCGTGCGGATCCTACTCGACAACAGCCACGGGCATAGCAGCCAGCTGGCGTCGCATATCTCCGCCCTGCGGTCGAACAGCAACATTGCGAAAGAACGAGATAAGACGCAGGGTCAAGCACCTCCTCCATCCTCCGCGACTATCCGAGATAAACGATCATCAACACAACCCAAGAAAGTGCAGATCGCGCAAAGCGTGTCGGATAATCAAATCATGAAGCGCGATCGAGGCAACTAGATAGTGTTGCCTTTACACACGCCCGCCCCCCGCCCCCCTTCCTTCATTCCCAGCATCCAGAAAGTATATTTTACGCTCTGCTTTTAATAAATGCATGTACAATAGACTACAGCAATGATACCCCTAGCATATAAGCGACGTGGGACCAAGCTCCTAACCCCGGTAGAAACTCAAATCCATGCGAACGAGAAAGATCCCAGATCAGGGCCCCCGCTATGCAAGTATATCATATCACATACATACATACATACATAAAACAACCAACCATCAAGAAACCTAAAATAAGCCCCTAAAATCAAAAAGAAAACAAGAAGATCAGAAAGCGACTCTAAAGCAAGAAAAGAATAAAAGAATAAAAAAGGAAAAGAATCAGAAAAACCACCCCCCACCCCCCCAGTCAATAAGACCCCTACTTAAGAAAATAATAACGAAAAAAAAAAAGAAAAAGAAAAAATAAAAGGCAAAACGCGTGACACAGATTAAAACCCACCCCAGCCAATAACCCTGGGCCCCGTGATCGGCACCCCAGAAACGGTACTTAATTGCCATGCGAACGCATGTCATTGGACCAAAGCCGAGTGGAGCCCTCGGGATAAATCGTAAGGCCCACATTCGGTCATGATCTGCATCCCGAAAGTAATAAGTTATAGGTATATTAACTTAAATTTGAAAATGGGCGGAGAGGGAGAGAGAGGGAACCCTGACCTTACCTAATTTATTTGAACTTAAGTTAACCTTAGATTTTTCTCATGCTTGGGCTTTTTTTTGTTTTCCTTTCTTTTAACCTCTTTTTTTTTTTTTTTTTAAAACTTTGATATGTAGGGATGTAGATGACACTATGGGTGGGGAGAGATTTTGTCGGGTGATGGTGGATTGGGGGTATGAGAACCCTGGTTCGTGGGTTGGTTTGGGTTTGTTACGGTGACATCTTCAATTTTTGTTCTTTTCCTGCTTTCTTGTTGTGTCATATGCTTCTTTCCTTGATGTCCGAGTCGAGACCGTGCATAGCATTGTTGTTTGCGTAGATGTAAGTGTCATGGCTATGACATTCATAAAGGTAACCCCAACAGAAAAGAAAGACAGACTGGAGAAAAACGGAGATGGTATCAAGTTATGGAGAAAAGAAAGCAAAGAAATACAGATAATTATACTTGAATTGACCCTACTTTTCCCGAATACAACGAGCCGGATATCGATCGAGTCGAACAGAGAACCACCCACATGTGCAAATCGTGAATTGAAACAAAAGAAAAACATGAACGTGAGAGAGAAGTAAAAAAAAGAGTCCTTCCCTCCCAAATAATAAAATACTCGAGAAAACCATCCCTCACAAATGATACAAGAGAAGTAAACGTTTCTCATATACATCTCCTGCACAACGCTGCTTCAGTACCCGAAATCATCTTGCAGTCGACAACGGCCCGGACGCGATTGCAGAAGGGGCCCGAGAAAAGACACAGGGTAATGATATCACCAGCTCCTCGCTGAACATTGCATGAAACACTCGCAGAAGGGAGTAAAAGAAAAAGCGAGGCGGTTCTGCAAACCAGCGTTGCATCGAACTGACTGGTGGACCTGCGGCTCGCGCTTCAATATACACCAGAATTCACGGTGTCCTCCTAAAAAACAATAAGGATATGATCGTGACGAACAACAAACGCAAAAGCGAAAACGAACAAAAAGATATACCACAGATAACCGCCCCAAACCGTGCCACCCAAACCGACCCATTGATCATAATCACATTAGAGCGACACACAGAGAACATTGCTTTCAGAAAGGATAATAATAACGAAAAAGAAACCACCCAAGCGGCAGAAATAGTACGAAGGCTAGAACTAAAGAAAAGGAATTTTGCAGTGCATCACATCATCGTAGGGGGAATAACACGAATATAACGTTCGAAGAAACAAAAAGAACCACCGGTATCTCCTCTAAGAGCAGTAATCATCCGGGTAATCATCCGTAGCATATATGCAGAGTCTATTCCCAAATTGCCGCCCTTTTGCCGGAGAGAGAAAACGTATAACATGCGAAAAATTAGGTGTTAAGAATAAAAAGAAAAAAAGAGGGAAAAGAAGAAGTATAACTAGAGCGGCTAGACCAACAATGGTTATACCTGTGGTTGGGCTGGAGCAGCTGTCGTCCAAGTGGAGACAGGGTAGTTAGCATGAGCAGCTGGAGCGGTGGCGCCCACATAATACGGATGTCTGTCGCCTCCAGTGTAATAAGGGTTAGGAATTGGATTCGATTCCCGACGAGGGATAGTAGGGTCAAAAGCCGCCATGCCGCGCTGTTCCAGAGACTGGTGCGATGCCCCATCCAATTGCCCCGCTAGGCTGAAACTGTTACCCCGTGAATATGTAGCCGGAGTGGCAGGGTCCATCGGTGAGGTTGCATCGGTTGCAACACTTCGCGAGGAAATCGAAGAGTTCCGATAAGCCGAGGGGCTGTGGTCCGAGTGGGACCGATTACGGTCGCTCAAGGAGCTCGGCATAGCCGCGCCCATGGCGGATGGAATGGACGACGAAAGAGGATTATGGTTAAGCGCATCGAAACTCGTCCCATACTGCGCTGGACGGAACTGCGGATAGTCGTCGGGTTTCTGTGGGATCTGAGTCGGAGCTGATGGAGCAGGAAGATAAGGATTGGGGGCCGGCTGTGCAGGGATTGATCCGGCCATTGAATACGCCGTCATCGGCGCCGACTGTGGCGGATGGGTTGCTGCATAAGGATTCGCGTGCATATAGAAATCCGGATGAGGATTCGGCATCCCATACCCTGGGGGAGCTACCAGCTGCGGAGGACGATATCCGTACAGCGCATGGGACGGATCATTCTCCAAGCTGCCAGTCTCTAGATCATCAATGGGAGCCCGGAAACTTTGCTTCTGGGTCAGTTCTGCCCGGGGCCTGATATATCTCAGTGAATCAACCATCGACGGCGGGTTTAAGACACCCCTCATCACATCCTCCACGCTATAGTATGACACCAGATGGTGTGTCACGCCGGAGACAGTCACACTCATCGTCTTCTTGACTAAACCCGAGTCCTTGAAGCCGTACGAATCCACCAAGGAACCGACCAGTGCTCTTTCCACATCAGACTGGTGCGATCTCTCTCCGAACGTCCCGGTTGACGAAGGAGAATAGCCTTGGCTACCGTTGCTGTCATGGCGTGCATACGGCTCCCCGGGCCTGCTTGGAGGGACTGGCCGTCGGTTGGCCTTCTTCATCGCTCGCTTCTTCTCGCCCGGGGGGAATGGCTTTTCGAGCTCTCGATAGACCAAGAAGTTGCCCAGAATGCGACTCGGACTCCAAGTGACGCCGTCTGTCCATCGCTTGATTCCCGATGAGTTTTCCTCGTAGATAAATACGCTTCCGCTCCGGACTAAATGACCACGCTCACGATCGTGAGGTCGGCGGGGCACATGGTGCAGGACACCGGTCAAACATGCCTCGAACAGGATTAATGCATCTTGCGTTGTCGCAACGTACCCCGTGAAGGTAGGCTCCAACACTGTGGTGGTGCCGTTGACCATTGTTTATGGTGGTTGTAGGTTCGAACCTAGTTCAAAGGGGGCCAGAGAGGTAAAATCGATCAAAGTTAAGGCCACCGCTGATCAAAGTTTCGCGGGCTAGATGGTTATTCAACAGAGTAGTAGTTCCCAACTCGCAGAAAGAAGGATGGCATACACAAGACCCGCGATTTCTCTAAATCGCGATTGCCAGAAATGTATGGTTAAATAAATCGATGAGCTCTTGCTCTCCTGCGATGTAATCACACTGGAGAAAAACTGGAGCTTGAAGAGTGGGAGAATTCGGGAGGGGGAGGCAAATGTCCAGTCGACCTCCCGGGGCGAAGTTTAGGAGAGAATGACAGGTTGATGGGGAGTCAAAGCGGACGGTGAACCGTAGAAAAGGGATGATGGCGCAAGTTAAAATCCCCTCTTCTCAACGAGTTGAAGGATCACCCAGACGTGGGCAACCCGGATCGACAGCAAGCACGGGCCCGTCCTTTTTTGTCCAGGTCTTTCGCCAGGAAAGAAAGGTTGGATCCGGAGAGATTGAATCGCCCTAAGCAATTACTGGGTCGACCGGAGCTCTGGTTCCACGGATAGCGATCGGGATCGTAAAATGTTGACTTATGACTAGACTCGTCCCCGAACCAGAGAAAGAGCTGCGGGAATTCCAAGAGTTGGGCCTGCAAGATGGGTCAGATAAACCCCGATTTTCGTCGTCAAAACTCCCAACGAGATGCGAAAGAATTAAATTATAAACCAACCCCTGAGTCGCAAGAAGTAACAAAAGTGAGAATAAGAGAGAAGGGAGGTTAAAAAAGAGAGAGAAAGATCAATTCGGCTTACACTCTGTGAAGACAGTGAATGCGCAGTTTGGGGTGCCTGGTTCCGTAGGAGGGAATGTAAGCCGATTTATCCACTTTTTGGGGTTCAGAACAGCCACCAGTGCGCCATACGAAATTTGAGAATAGAAAACGAAACAATAACAAGAGTTGTGGAAATATCAGAGAACAACTTGAAACATCTTGGGGGAAAAAACTAATCAAAAATAAAAAGGGACCAAAACAAGATGAAGATATTGAGCAGGATGGGGCAAAGGTTTAAAAATTATAGACTAAATCAAAAAGGCAAAGAAATAAAATAAGAGGAATTTAAATGATCAAGATTCACATAACAGACTGCAGGGTTCGTCAGGGTAAGGTATTGTAAGAGCTCTTCCCTTTATTTTTCCATTCTGGATTTTTGATTTTTCAAAAATCGAAAATAAAAAAAATAAATAAAAATAAAAAATAAAAAAGAGAGAGAGAGAAGATTATTAAAAAAATCCCCTAACCCCTTCCTGATGATGATGATGATGATGATGACGATGATGATCGAAGAGCAAGTTGGCCCAAAGAAAAAATAATAATATTAATCATAAATCAAATGAAAATGACAAAACAAAAAA